TAATAAGCAGTAAAATCATACTAGGAAACAAATAAAACAATATAAATTGTAAAGATACAAGCAACACGGTTATAGTCATAAGTGGGAAGAGATAGGCACTAAGAAGTGTTATTATAATCTGGTAGTAGAGGAATAATAGTAATACAGTCTTAGTAAATAAATTGACAGTGTTGTGGGAATTAGTTGTTTAGCAGAGTGATGGCATTCAGGAAAAAAGCTGTCCTTGTGTTTCATTGTTCTGGTGTGCACTGCCCTATAGCATCATTTTGAGGGTAGAAGTTGAAACAATTTTTTTTCCAAGATGTGAGGAGTCTGTAGATATTTTCACAGCCCTCTTTTTGACTCGTTCAGTATACAGTCCTCGATGGAAGACAGGTTGGTAGCAATGGTTTTTTTCTGAAGTTCTAATTATCCATTGAAGTCTGTGTCTGTCCTGTTCACAGAGCCAAACCAGACAGTTATAGAGGTGCAGATGATAGACTCAATAATTCCTCTGTAGAATTGAATCAGCAGCTCTTTGGGCAGTTTGAACTTTCTGAGTTGGTGCAGAAAGAACATTCTTTGTTGTGCTTTTTTGATGACAATGATGAATAATAAAGATGATGATGAAGGACTTTTTTATCCTATTTAAGGATAAAGATAAGGGAGATACAAGGTTTTCTGAAAATTTCCTAGGAAGGATTTGAAGTTTTAAGCAAGCACAATGAATATTAGGTAGAAAAAACACTATTCAGAGATCCCTAGGGACGTTACCTGTACATTTGTGAATCTTGCCTATGTGAGGTGGAATTTTTTTTATAATCATCTGATTCCAGGATAAAACAAATAGCTGAGCATAAATCTCCAAATAAATCCTTCCAACATCTACCTATGTTTAAAAGAAGAACTAAGTATGAACTAGGAACTTTCTTCCTAACATGAATATAATTTTGAGTTACTAGTATTGGAAGCTACAAGAGAGGGCCATGGTGACCTAGTGGTGAAAGCACTCACCTTGAGAGTTCAGTCCTAGGTAGCAGCAGATGTTTCTCTCCTAGGCTACAAAGAAAAAGAAATCTGCTGCAAACTTTGTGTGGTATCAGGAAGGGCATCCAGCCAGTAAACTGTCAGCGCCATCCAGTTGCTCCAAGTCTACTCTGAATTAAAGGATAATGGGGTCATAAAAAGGAAGTTTTAGTGTTAAAAGAGACAAAAAGGAGAGGTAGATAGATAGATAGATAGATAGATAGATAGATAGATAGATAGATAGATAGATAGATAGATAATAGAGAGAGAGCTTTAGATAGAGATAGAGATAAAGATAGAGATGGTAGAGATAGAGAGATAAGAGAGGGAGGGGACTTAGCAGAATTTGCAGGCTTAGTTTACACAGTTGAAGTGCTGGAAGACTACCGAGCACCACATTAAAACTTTAATAGATTCAGGTAGATTGGGGTATCAAAGATTAATATAATAGTAAACCATAAAAAATAGCATTATAGCTCTCTATGAATAATGGGAGTGTAATTATGTTCATAAATTTGTAAGATTCTAGACATGAGAGGTGTACAAAATTAATAGCTGGTTTGAGAAAGGATAAAAGATATTTATTGTTTCTGTGTTATTATTTGGCCCTACACAGGGAGATACCTAATTCGATCTTATTATCCAAATGAAGCTGAAGATTGAACCGCAAAGCAAAAGCCAAGTCAGCATTCTTCCAACTTGGCAAAGTTATCTCCAGCTTCCTGTCTGAGAGTAGTTTTGTTAGCCAAAGGGTACACCTGGCCATCCACTTGCCCCTCCCCCAACACACACACACACAAAAGCTCACTAGAGAATTCTGCTGATGGAAATGTCCTTGAGGACAGCAGCAACAAACTTAGGGTCTCTAATGGGGTATGCCAAAGCAAGACAGAGGCACTCTGGTTCACTGGCAGCTGATCCGTTATTCTACCTGTGGCCAGGATTGAGGTGTGCTCCCAGATCAGGGATATTTTCCAGAGTCCTGTACAAGTGGAAATAAAATTCTGTGGTTCCTCTGAGAGCCTTTGTGACTATCTGAATATGATTTCACGTAGAGCAAAGATCCTCTAAAAGACATTTAAGTCCTGTTTGAAATAGGTGCTAAAGTAGCTCTTACTGAATTCAGTGGAACTCACTGTACTTGTATGCAGACCTAGGTAGGATGTCCTATGTCTGGATTGCACAGGGATTCAAATCATGGTGTCAAATTGGTTCTGAACCAAGGACATACATAATAGCTTAGCTTGACCGTGTTGGTTTGCTTATGAACAAGATTTCCAACCGATCACTCTGTAAAAAGGCATAAATAATGCCTGTAGAGTCACTTCCAGACAGATGATTTCGGAAAGCAAATGTAGTTTTGGTCTGCAATTCATGAAGGCACTTTGAAGGGGACCATGGGAGACGATGCAGTTGCCTTAAAGAGTTCTAACATCCACCTCTCCCAAATTATTTCTGAAGCTTTAGACACGTCGTCCCAAAGGTGCTTTTTTCAAGAGGCAACTTGTGATGACCCAGGGCATGGCACAAAGGCAACACAGTCAAATAAGCAGTAACAGTCCAACTTTGCACCCAATGTCCAGGTTACCTTCAGCTGGAGAAAAAAAACTCCCAATTTTTAATTGTAGAAAATTCAGTCCAAAACAAGGTACATACGAACTGTAACTAAAAATCCAAACACCAAGCTGAAGTAATTAACTTGACAGGGCAGGAGAAGGAATTTCAGACTTGAAAGCACAGCAAAACTAACACAGTTGGGAAGATGCCAGGAGCACAGATAAGCCACAACGATACAAGATAAATTCACATTTGCTCCCAACAACTTGCTGTGTGCAGCTTCCTCTTCTATACACTGTGTTCCCAGCTGCAGCTAATGAAGGGAATTGGGGCCCTTTCCTCCCTCATAAGCCATGCAGCTCACATTGCTCCCTTCTCTATTCCTCCCTGTGTGCCCTAGGATGAAGAGGTGGTGGGCCTGGGTCTTCCTCCAAATTCCTTCTCCCTTGTTCTACCTCTTCCCTGCTCTGCCCAGCTGGACTTTGCACTTCCCCAGTTTCTTCCACAGCCAACAGAGCCACTCCCACTCCTGTCAGCTGTTCGGCCTCCCCCTCTGAGTCACATTCCGAGAGGGGTGAAACGTCTTCAAAGAAAAACAAGGAAGTCCAGTTGCCTCTTGAAAAAAGCACCTTTGGGACAACCATGACCTGGATGACTGAGAATCTCCATGGACACATTAGACATGTCCTATAAACAGCTGAAAGACTTCTAATTCTTCCTCCTACCACATACATATTTGACATTGGGAGCATATTTTCCAGGTGGGATTTGGAAGCAAATAAAACTCGCTAAGAGAAGAATCACAGGTGTCACTGACATGTTGGTACCCAGAAGTCTCCAGAATAAAAATTTATGATGAAGATATTCTAGGGGAGAAAAAAAGATCCACTCTCAATTTTAGATATAAAGACATCAACAGATATACCAACCATGGCGAGAATTAAACTTTAATTCTGTTTTTTCAGGAAATGAAAGAGAAGATAGTGAGGAGATAGGACGTTCTTTAGCAATAAAGAGCAGCTACACTTTATTAAACTGTCCTGTGTTCATACTTTTTGTGGGCTTTAAAATGCAGTTTAGCTTCTGGTAATGATTTGCAAATCAATGTAAGCTTAATCAATAAACACATTGATTCCTTCTTAGAGTAATATAATTGATCAACTAAAAATAGTTCACAATCCTATTATTAATTCATGGTTTATACATAATCATATATATGTATACAGAGCCGACAATGCCAAATAAATTTCACTTCTTAATAATCTGAAGATCTGCTGTAAAATAGAAGCATATTTGTTTTATAAACAAAACAAGTGCTAAGGATGTGACAGTTTGAACATAGTCTGAAGGATGAAGTCATGTAGATAAAAACAAAAGAAATATTGTGTTTGTATGTGGGAAGTTTCTATACAATAATTTGCAAACATTAAGTCAAACAAAAACTGCAATTTTATTCCCACAATTTTTTATCTGGCTTGTGCCACTATTTATGAGATGTTAATAAAAGGGAAAAGTTAACAGATTCTCTACTTTGTTTACCTGTGTACATATGACTCCTGAGTTTACAGAATAATGAATTGGTTGGTTAAATAGTGTTATCAATATATTTCAAATGATTTGTTGAAATGATTTATTAGCTATTTAAAAATAGTAATTGGAAACAAAAGTGGATAGGCCAGTTCAAATTATGACTTTAACCTTGTTTTATTTCAAAGTTTGATTAAAAAAAAAATACAAATGAATTATTCTGTAATACCTAAACCATGCTTTTCAGT